TCGAATATCAAATTTCTGTAAAGCCCACCTTTTCAATGAAGAGAGCGACGGTAAAGGAAAATTGAGCTTAAGTCGAAAATATCTGTATGCTTTTGGACTAACACTGCGAAATGAAATTGCCGAAGCATAATCATCTATTGACCACCAAACCCATTTTCGATTTTCTCTGATGCATCTTATTTGTCCTTCTGTGAAATAACATTGCAATTGTTGTATCATCTTATTTTCAGCTGTCTTTTCAAAATTATGTTTGTCGAGATCAGCTGCCACCAGTTTCGCTTGAAGATCATTAATCATTGCTTGCATTTGTTTTTTTTCTTCTATTAAATTTTGATTATCTTCATTTGTTTGTACTAATTACAATTGTAACGTTTGGCACTTTCTTTCAATTTCTTTCATTTCATCCAAATTATTGCATCTAGATTGTAGATGAAATTTATTGAGAGATCGTTGATATTCCAATTCAGCTTTCAACAACTTTATTGATGTATCCTCATTTTCTCTCGATTTATGGGTACTATCAGTAGTGTTATTGCAATTCTCCATCATAAATCTGAAAAAACGTAATATGTTTAAAACATTGAAACATGTATTGACAGTTTATCTATTCTAAGTATATATTAAGCCAGTAGTACATAATGCATATTTTCTTGTTGGATTGCTCGCGTTTTAGTAAATTAATTGCACCGCACAGAACACAGAATTTCTAATAATTTACTAAAACGCAAACATTCCAGCAAGAAGACATACATTGTGTACCGCTGGCTGTATATATGTAAGCATTTATACATTTTTTTGTTACTGAAAAATAATAAAGAAAACAATAGAAATTTGTAAATTAAGTGTGTTCTGTAAAAATTAAAACATTTTGACAATTGCCAGACATTTTTGTACTAGAGTATACATAAAGGGTAAATAAATATAAGCATTTATATAAGCATACCGTTGTTTACGAGTGTATGAAGGAGTGTTCTCTTCACTATGGTATTCTCCGAGTAAGTTTGTCGATGGCCTTTTCAAATTTTTTAGTACAGAAGTTTTAACCTGTCGTTTCTTCATTTGCATATAAAATGAGCTCCCAATACTGCGATGACTATGCAAATGTTTTACTCTTTGCGATCTGTGTAAAAGTATAAATAGTTAACAGTTTTTAGAAATGTTAAATGGCTATTCAGCGCAACATAGCAATGAATTAATCACATTTAAGAAATTTTAAACATACCTTCTTGGAAAAGTGGCATTACATACATTGTCGGGTGCATCAGATGTACTTTGTGGCGTTTCAAAAATTCTCTTTTCAACCCATAATTTTCTACAAAAACATGAAAAGATATTACTATCTGTCGTCTATATTAA